TCTTCACTCCCGGGCTAAGCCATTCAGTGGCCGTGAAGCCCCGGCATCTCTCCTTGGTGCTGAATAGGTTATTTATAGGTAACATTCAGCACACTGTTAATCAGCTCTCCACGTACGTCACAACATATCCATTAGCGGAGGATACAGGGTTGCAAGCACCACTCACTAAGCACACTCTTCGTTACAGCAGTGATTTTCGTTTTACTTTGACTTTTTTTAGCTCACAAATTCCTAAAGTTGCAGCCTCTATCTTTGGTACCTGCTGCTCTGCAGATACGAAACAACCACAATGCGGCGTACTAAACGAGGGATCGATATGGAAGACTAATGGCTAAACGTCTTCCCTCCATCTTTTCGCTATCCAATCACCATAAAGTACTAGAAATCTCTTAGCTCTAATGGCGTACGGCTTCTTGACTACAGATTACTGTGAAAGAGAACGCTGGATGCTTTGTAGTCTTCGTGTATGTACACATAAACCCATGAACAGACCCACTAAAAATAAAGGTCACGATATGTATCAGTTCAGAACGTATCGCTTCTCCGCACATTTTCAACCTTACTATACCCAGTGCTTCTTTTTGGCATCTCATGTTTACAGATCTATACATCACACTAGGGTAGTATTTTTTTCAGACTAACTGGCGCACAGACGTTCCCAGATGTTTTGACGTAACTCAAGGGACCGTTACATGAATGGATGTAAAACGCTGTGCGTGGTCTGTGATATGGCACCACATACGTATCGCTTCTTCGCACATTTTCAGGTTTACTATGCCCAGGGCTTGTTTTGCATTTCATGCTTACAGATTTATACATCACACATGGGCACCGTTTGTCCAGATTAAGTGGCGCACAGACGTCCCCAAATGTCTATAGGTATCTCATTATTAACTCAAGGGCCCGTTGCATGAATGGATGCAAAATAACCGCTAGTTTGTGATATGGCACATTGGTCGACCTTTGCATGGCTACAAACGTACATCCTGACTCCTGACAGAGGCTCTGACGTCATGACAAGAATTGATAGACGGTGTGCGTTTGCACTCCATGTCCAAACAAGTTTGTTTTTAAAATAGTACAGTGTCATGTGGGCTTTCCTACTTGCTTTTTGTGATAGCTTGCTTGACGAAACATTATTAACCGTCGTATCATAGCCGGTTTGTACAACTACACTACAATTGTGGAGCTATGATACAGAATTAAAACAGTCTTTGCATTGAGAGTTTAAAATCATTCCATGAAACGTTTAATATAGCCCTGGTGTTACTATCGAGACCGGGTCTAGTTGTGTTTAACATTACTTCGCCGCCCTTTGCCAACTAGTTCGCTGCTCTTAATTTTGAAGATATGCGGTAGCTGAAGTACAAATTTGTCCCTCTTGCGGTTGGAAGCACATTGATGTTTGTACAGAGCTTTAACGTACAGGATTACGGGATCACAGTGTTGTTGGTTGTAAGACGATCAAAGCGTAGTCCTGCTTACCAAACAAGGCAGATGCGGACGTCTAAATCGTTCCCCCGGGGCAAAATTTGCACTTTGTATCATTCTTTCGATTTCCGCAACACGTGAATGCCTCTAACAGATAAATTATGCACCGCTTTCTTTACTAGTGTATGGACATACCGAAGTCTAGACATATCGACCACAGCACGGATGTATATCACCGATAAAACTGCAATACGATTATAGCGTTACAACCCACGGCAAACTATATACACTATCAATCATCCACATCCATGTTGGTTGTTGACATGATCTTAGCACTGTTCAAAATGCGTGGTACATGGTACAAACAGTGTTCTCTAGATAATCGTTATAACAGTGGGTTACCTTCACCGTAGTAGCACCAGTCTTCCTCCCGCGGAGCCTCGCCAGCCTCTGCCGCCCCGGACATATTTTCCTCGGTCACAGCTCTTTTTCTTCAACACGTTTTACGTAAACCACCACGGACGCAACAGGTTGAGTTTCTTCGAAACGTCGCGACAGACTGTGATGATGATTTCGCCCTACGCAGTAGAAAATTGGTATACCGTCTGGTCGCGTCCGTGGTTGTCTGTCCCTGCGAAGCTCTATAGGTTGGATCCGGAGCAGGGGTTGAATTAAAATTCACAGGTTGCTCGGTAAGCCCCAGTTTTATGATCTCACGAAATGAGATATGGTAGGATTGAACGCAATTTGTCATAAAGTCTATTCCTCACGCTAATGGTGACCCAGTTCGTGGTTGTTGTAGCAAAATAAGACTCCAAAAACTTGTTGTGCATCAAATATAGAACACACCCTCCGGGTCACGAGAGCAGAGACAGTTTGAAACTATCAAAAATCCGGGATAGCGGGTCAAGGTTGTCACCCCTGCTACAGGACAGATCGATCAAAGATGGTGAGATCGCATGTTTTAAAGACCCTTAAGTTTTAGGGTAACGTATTGGCAATCTGTCACGCGGATATCCAAGTGATTGACCGTCAGGTAATGATTTACCCCGCTGACGTTCATTCTAGAGAGCTCTACAAACTCAAACGGGTGCACTAGTAACGAAGTCGTAATTGGATATTCATAAAAAGGTAATAAACACGTACGCACTCAAATACCTCATGTTATATGTGCAGGTGCCGTCTTTGTGTTTCATACTATACACACTGACATAGTAAATAAGAAATACTGCCAGTTTTGTACAGGTCGAACTACCAGCGTAGAGTACGCAGTAGTTGGGAACATTAATATCTCTCTGTCTGTATATGATGTATAAATTTATTTAGATAATAAAAGATGAATACACTAAGTTATCAAAAGTCAGATTGAATTGAATCTCTCCAATTTGAATTAGAAACAAAATATTATAGCGTCTATGTGATTTCTCATTTCATGAAATGAAATTTTGTACCATTACTCAGTCCAGTGCTTATGTATCAGCTTCCATGCAGAATGGGTGATTTATGGTCACATATACTAGTACGCATCACTACATGGTTCAGGCATGATAGAGCACTGAGACTTTATGTCAGATGTGTTTTATCATTCTTTCAACACTCCACTTACATATTGACTTTGCATTATGGACCTTTTAGGCATGTAAATATGTTTTCCTGTTCAGACCAGGTCCTGAAATGTTCTCTAGTATGGGTGCTTAGTAACGTTGTAAGGGCTGTAATGCATCAAATTGTTTCGTTCCCAACAAGCTAGCATACATCACAAAATAAGTCTGCTTACATAAAACTTAAATACACAATGTACTTATTCATTGATTAGACATGGAAAAGTAGGTGCTTCACTGAATGTTTCACCATGAATTTAATATGGATATATATATACAAGTTGCAAGTAAGATCACAGACAAGGAAGCTAGCTACATTTGTATCAGTCCATTTCCATCAAACGCAATGAAATATTATGATAGAGCAAAACTTGAGTATATTTAAGAGTCACTTTTTATTCCTTCCAAACTAAAAAAATCATGTTCAAATCTTTTGTAAGTAAAGAAAACAGATAGCTGCAAAGCCATAGCGCTGTAATGATTCTCTTATGAATGATAATTAACTTTGTAAACAAAAGGTCTTCAAGGTTGCTGTCAAAGTTTATTTTCCCCCTTCCCCATTATCAGAGACAATTTTTGTTTCTTCCACCAGATATTACAACTTGTCTTGTGATGCCAAAATATCTGGGAGGGTACCCTGCACTCCTGTAGAATTATTCTCATCATGCTCCAACTGTACTACTGAAGCGGTGGCTAAATGGCCTAACTTATCCTGGCTGCGGACGGACTTCATTTTGGCAGCCCCTCGATTGATGCCCAGCACAAACGTTGGCCTGACTCCCAGGTCCTCCCCGGGGTGCTTGTTCCTGAGGTGGTGGGAGAAGTCGTGCTGACTGTTGGTGTTGTAAGGACACCACTTACACACGTACTGCTTCAGTCCCTCGTGTTTCTTAGTCTTGAGAATGTGCTTGCGCAGGTTCTCCACATTGTTGGCACGGTAGGAGCAGTGAGGACAGTTGTAAGGCTTCTCTCCTGTTGAACATGACAGGATAAAAAACAGAAGAAAGATGAGGAAAAAAGGATTTTATAATTGTACATTCATGAAATTGCAGTGTTACAAAGGCAAACTACTAGCTGCTTATAACTAGTCATAATGTGGCATACTATATTTTCACACATGAAAAATCTTTTATAATCTTGGATCTTTAGCTTGGATCTAACATACATGTGCATATGATTACAGTATTTCCAAATAACATTTGAGCATTAGTTCAGACAGCTTGATTGTATCACCTGTGTGTGTACGCTTGTGCCTGATGAGGTGAGGCTGCCAGGAGGTGGCATAGCTGCACTGGTCACACTTGTGTGGTTTCTCTGCACTGTGCTTCCTCCGTATGTGCCACTTCATCAGCTTTACTGTGGTGGTTGCAAAGCCACACTGC